TTGAAGAGCTGATTAAATAAATTAAAAAAAATAAATAAAATATTTATTTTTCCTTTAAACTATCAGTAACAATAGATAGGATAAGTCAATATTACATGTCATAAATGGACAGTGGTATCAAGTTTTAATGGAAAAATAAGACGAAACGAAATACTATAACAAGACGAGACATTTACAGTGATGACTAACATAAACTGAGAAATACTTCAGTATTATAATTTCAAAATTGAAAAGTAGGATTCGAATTCCTCAACAGTATAGAAGCATTCTCTGACTAGGAGTTTTTTCAGTCTACATTTAAAAACAGCCGGGGATACCGCGTTTTTTATTTCATTCGGCAGACAGTTGAAAAAACGGCAGCCTGCATTGATTGGAGATTTTTTGTAATAGGAGTGTTTAGGCTTCTTTAGTTTGATATCATTCTTTTTTCTAGTGTTGTAAGAATGTGAATCACTATTAATGGGAAATGAATGTTTGTTAATGTAAATGTAGGGTAACATCGATCAATCACACTTGGGGTCTAGCGGGAATGATTACATAGGTATAGGGTGTGAAAAATCTAGATTTTTCAACTTTAAGATTTTTTTGTATCGATCGAAACCGCTTCAATATTCTTATCTTCACATTTGATTTACTATCTACTGACATTTAATTGGGACAGATACAGAGGGTGATCAGAATTCTGAATCTTGAACCAACCTGTATTTGTTTCAATTAAATGTCAGTAGATGGTAAATCAAAAGTAAAGATAGGAACATTGGAGCGGTTTTGATCGATAATGAAAAGTTAGGACACAAAAAAATCCTAAAGTTGAAAAATCTAGATTTTAAACACCCTATACCTATGTAATCATTCCCGCTAGACCACAATAAAGTAGAGGGTATTCCATTCAAAATGAGGAAGTTAATGAAAGATCCGAAATAACTGAAAAAGTGGCAACATTGTCTATAACATTTTCAAATCCGCCACGTTTCGAAATCACACTGTACATAAATTCAAAAAAATCCAACAACAGGTTACCGAGATATTCACCTGTTTCCATACATATCAGCGACCCTGTATAATGAAAAATCTTTTCCACTAGATTATCTCTCTTTCCCTCGTGCTCTTTTTTTCTCAATAATGAAACAAAATAGTATATTATGTATAACAATTGATTTCAACGTCCGTTTAGTAACTAGTTTTTAATACACGAGTGTCTAGAAGAGTTTATAAACTATAAACACGTTACATACTATACTTTTTCTACGAACTCATAATTCCTATATTTGACAAGCTCCGCTAATTCCAAAAATTAGCCTAACCTACCTGCTATCGTACAAAATAATTCAAAGGGAATGAGAATAATTGGGAACATGATACATGATACTATGCAACTGTGTGCAACCAATGAGACATGTAAGTGACATTGGTTGTAGATGTGTCCAGTTCACTGGATACATGGATTTCTATTAAAATGGCTCACTTATACTTACCTTTGTGAATAACAATTTTTCCTCTGGTGTAGAGGATCTCATCGATTTGCTGAGGTGTCGAAGATTATATTTCTCCATATTTCTCCATATTCTGATGTGCTTTTCAGGAATGCAGACAACTTTGCATATTAAAGCTCTTATAAATATTGTGTTTTATATTTTATTGTCATCCTTAGCATAGAATGAATTGCCCACAAAGATGAGAGCTTCATTTTCATTTTTACAGACAGTTCATGGAAATATGCAAGTAAAACATTCTCTTCGATTCCACATTCACTTTTGTTTGCATACATTTTCAATCAAAAATTCTGATAGTAACAGAAATTATTGTTTGAATAATTCTGATTGCCACCAATTGCAACAAAATTCTAAAATGACAGTTGGCAGTTCCTACAATTGACAGACAGGACAGGACTCAAATAACTGTCAGATTGTCAAAAATCATTTAGAGTGGTACATATCCGTACGTTGCCACTTCACTTATGTGAGAAGAAGAAATGAATAAAAGAATTCTACTTACCCTCGATAATTTTCTCCACAATTCCTCAACCATTTCTCCACCACATCAAGTACACTCCTCTCTTGAAACACTATTCGCACCGTCAAGTGAGCCTCCTCTGGATAGGTACGTGCCCTTTGGCCTTTCAACCTCCGGGCAGCACCCGTACTATTTATAGGAATTCTCCGACAGCCTTGTCCACTTGGCCCAAGTAACGACGTTACCCATCAAACTATGTTTCGAGGACCAAATGTCTTTATTGTCCCCCCAGAGAATGCTCACATGACGGCGCAAACAGTCCTTAATGCTTTCCTGCACTCATACAACGTTTATATGACCTGGAAGAAATAAGGAGTGAGGTTCAGTAAAATCAGAAGTGGGATAGGGCAATCAGGAGTGGGATAAGTGTTTCAGAAGTTGGATAAATTGATCAGAAGTGGGATAAGTTATTCAGAAGTGGGATGAATTAATCAGAAGTGGGACCTGGAGAAACGAGAACAGGAAGATTTCAGCGGAATTGAACCGGCTGCCGTTTTAATGCACAAAAGAGGCCACACAATGCCCTGGGCGAAGCGTTTGATGCATTGCACAGTTCGGTCGTCGGCAGCGCTTGATTGATTTCCGTAAAGCGGTTTGTTTTCGGGTGATTGTGATGTGTGTTCGTTGACGAGTACTTCGAGAGACGACAGTTGCCGCAAGTGAAAAAGGGTCAGGTGATCAATCACCGAATGAGGATATTGATAGCTTCCTTCCTATATAAAATGTTCTCCAATAATTATAGTCAAGAAAAAGTTCAAAAATTTCCTTGAACTTCACTGATACAGACAAGTTTGAATAAATGTAAACGAACGTGTACAAAATGTTCTCCTATACTGTATATACTGCAATAATATAATCTTGACTATAATACTTGTGGTAATACTGTAGTTTTAGATTGAACAAGTTTGTGTAAATTTTTTTTGTAGAGTATATTATTATGAAAATGCCTCTTGTTAAGTTAAATAGCTCAACTATGATTCATATATTGGGAAAAGTAAACATTGTTTATTGGTTCATAGTCTTGCCCCTGCAGCTACCTCTGCAAAATATCGATTTTTGAAGATTGTATCAAGTCATCGTTGAACAGTATTCAGAAATATTATTATTGGTGTCTATTCAACTTTGGACATTGCCATTTGAAAGAACTCTTCACGAGAGATTGCTACTAAAATTTGCAATCTATATCACAATTTCAAAAGAAACTGATGAACCATAATTAGTCATGATTTCAATTTTTATACGCATTTTCGCGTTACTGCTAGTTTGAATTTTGCTACTACTTGTCAAATTCGATGAGAAGATTAATCAAGATGGCCAAGCCTGACTCACAAAAGCCTATGACTGTTGTACGTCTTGTTTATGCACACAACTGTACAAGTTTCAATTTGCACTTACGGATAACCACTAATTATTTCATTTGATGAAGTACTAAATTCGGTAAGCTCATCTATCTCCGAGTTCTCATATTACTCGAAAGTTCATATCGTTAGTGGAGGCGGAACATTGACTAATCAACAGTAGAATATCATCGTGTTGGTTTTGATATCGGATGATGATATACCTACGTTCTCGCATTCATGTTCATCTGAAATTATAATTCGAATTACAAATTTCCAAATATAGCTGACCCCAAACAATGATAATGATAATTATTGAATAAATTCGACATCCTCATATAGTATGACTAGTGATGAAATCGAATAAACGAACCAGTGAGGAATCTATGAATAATAGAAGACTTTTTTCCTCGTATAACTAAATGATACTAATAAATGTATTAATGATGGCGATTGATGATCAAGACAATTAATTAATGTTCGAGTTGGTTACAAAAATTTTCCGTCGCCTATATTCCTCCTGCAATGAAGAAAATTTGGTTCGCGAATTTATTATTCATGACTCACTAGCCTTGAAAGTCAACTTGTCATTGACATTAGTGACATTTGACATTCTGGAATTTATTGCTTGAGGAAGTGTCCCCAAAAGTTCAAAACAATCAGATACCTACCTCCTCTCTCGATTCTCCCTAGGTACACACGATGTTCTTCTAACATTATAATAGGGATTTTCTTTCGTGCGCCCCAAATGATAAAAAAATTGGCGAAATTAGAACATGGAAAATCAATTCCTTCCGGGCTACAAACCAGGAACTAAAACCGGTTCAGAAACGTTTAAAAGCGTTCCGTTAACGTAAAATCTTCGATGACCTACATATTTTCGATTTAAATGCAGATTCCACGAGTTATAATCCCAACAGTGAAATGACGTGGTGTATGTTTGGTTGCCTATTCTATATTCTTTCGTTAATTTTGTGTACATCAATGAAATTTGTTGATAAGAAGTTGTCGGAAGAAAGAATTAGTAAGTGTATACCATTTATGTGAACTTAATATTTCTTTATCGACTTTATAGCCTCAAGGACCAGCAATCCATCTTTTTCGATATATTTAGTGATCTGAAACTTCAGTATAATGGCAAGTAACTGGTGAAAACTTGAATGTCCAAGAAAAAACAACAATCTAAGAGACTACCCCACAAATAGGAATGCAAAATATCACAATTGCAAAAATGCGAACAAGAAAACCACAACGGATTATACAAAGAATAAACATTCAAATAGAAACTTTTGATATTATGTTGGTGACGATTGTTGCTAGGGTGTCAGAGATCAATAAGAAACATGGTAATATTTTAATAATTGTGAAATAAAAGAGAGGGTTGTCTAGGAAGATAATAACAGAATTAAAAAATAAGATGATGGAAAAGAGAAGAATCGATTGAGATATTGGATGTTTCCATCGACTAGAAGAATCCGAAGAAAAGCTGAAGAGATATTGAATCTAGAATTAAACGATAACCAGCAGCAGCAGTGATCTAGGTTCACCACCAAATAATTAAGAAAGTCCTGTCTTCACTGATACTAGTGACCAAAGATAATAACATTAAGAGAATAAAAATTCAGCTGATATTCAGGATGTTCTTGGAAGCTGACACCTCACGACCTCATCGATTATCAAATCTCTAAACTCTCACATGCCCTCATCCCTTCATCACACGTGGCCAAAGGCAAGGCAAAGGGTAGAAAGAAAGGGTCGGGGGAGGGTCACGTGATGCCGCATGACGCCCCCCCATCATGCGGCACCGTAACAGACCGTCAGCGGGGCGGAAAATGGGAGGCAGGCAGGCAGGGAGGGTGGGAGGATGAGGAAGGATCCCCCTTATCCCGAAATAGCTGCATCCCTCCCTCCCCGCGCGGATCGATGGCCCCCGCGTCGAGCTAAAAATAGCGTCGCCGCGGCGTCGTGCCGCCCCACACATATATATACATACGTGAGCGTCGGTTCGAGTCCGCACTGGGTTACCGGATGACATTGACTCCGTGGTGCATACAGACGAAACGTACGGTAGATCATTGCCGCACAATCTTACAGGATTCAGGGTTCTTTTTTTTTATCGCGTGGAGCGCACGAAAGGGAATCCCTATAATGTTCGAAGAACATCGTGCGTTCCTAGGGAGGATAGGGACAGGAGGTAGGTATTGGAATTTTTTTTGAACATTAGGAGATTATATGTTGTTGGGAATACTTCCACAGGCAAACGAAAGGATGTGCTGACTGGGCTTGTCTAGTTCGTCTGATTGGTATTGCTAGTGAAGGGATGATAGCAGAGATTTCCGAAGAACATTTCCCGTGGAAGTATCGATAGAAAAGTGAAAGGTCGCCGACCATACTACGGTGTTCCAATGATGTCAAAGAGTGTTCTTGCTTCGTTCATCGATAGTGCAACTCAGTGAAAGCCACCATTGTTAAGGAATAGTACCTATTTTGTTTGCTGCAAGTCATACTAGTGGAAAATTAGCATTCCATGCGAGTTATACACATAATCATTAATAGTTATTTATTATACAAGGGAAAAAAGTAGTAGATTTTAGCTCCAGGTTGTGTTGTCTCCCGACGCGTAGCGGAGGGAGACAAAAAACCGTGAGCTTAAATCTAATATTTTTCCCGCGTATAATACACTATTTTTTTCTGTGACAGAAGAAAGGACGAATCAATATTGAGAAGATATTACATTATTTTGAAATCTGAAAATTATCGACGTGAAATTTTAAGTTTTTAACAGTTGGGACACCTGCGTTGTAAGCATCTTTATCATTCTTTTGAAGTAATCAAATATCTGATGTCACTTCTGTCAGTATAATTATGTGATTTGATTTCAAAAAATTGCGAATTTAGTGGTTGTTTAGTAATAGACGTAACCGCGAAGTCGAATGGAAGATAAAAGGACTTGCAGTTCTTTCTCGGAGACGGTATTAATGACTCATTTTTCGGAACTATAGCACAACAAAAGCCATCAACAGTGTATATATATGTGATATATATCCGGGAAAAAAGTACTCATTTTTTCCCACGGGAAATGCCAAAGTTTGCAATTTCATCTCTGTTGACAGATTACAAAATGTCACTTTTCATAAATTACTTTTTTCCCGTGGGATGCCATTCAAAATCGCCATCTACAATTGAAATATCAATTACATACTAAACAAGTCAGCTCATTCTTTCTAGAAGTTTCTTAATGAAAAATCAATTCCCAATATTCAGTTACACATTATTACGGTTAAATCACATGATCGTTTGGCATTATGTTGATACAATCTTAATCGAACAGAACTGTCATCAGTAGAAGTTTCATTGCTCGAAATTTGAAACTTCATGATAGAGACGTTCATTGTATAATACCTATATAACAGTAATACAATAAAATCACGAAAGTTTTTTTTTTTTTCCTACCTTAATGGCCATGGACATTAGTCCTTCAGCCACACACAATTTAAATTTTTCGTTTATATTTCAAATCACGAAAGTTAATAGAATTGAAGACATTATAATGTATCATTGCTTCATCAAGAACAGTTAATAAAGAACTATGTGGTGTCATTTAAAGGGCATGAATGGTTATTTTATTGAGGTGCAAATATAAAAAAATGTATTTTTGAAAAAACCTCATATGAGACTTCTTAGAGAGGTATGTTTTGCTCAAAGTAATCCAAATAAGCTCATCTCTCACTTTGTTCTTTTCATCGACCACCCTATAGATATAGCCACATTTTAATGATGGGAATTGTACGTTGTTGCTATTTACAGTTCATGCTCTAGTAATTGAATCGAACGAATTATACAATTTGTGTAGGTAGGATAAATGAATGCGCGGTTTGCTCCATTCTACTCCCTAATTAAAGTCTTGTTGACAATCGGGAGCCGACAAAGTTTTCCAATTAAGTTTATTTACAATGGGGACATGTGTGAAATTAGCGTGTTTAATCAGAACTATTAACAGCGCGTAACCGCGTGTAAATTTCTATCAGTTTGTCTACCCATAACAGATCGTTTTATTTCTTTTTTTTTCTGATAGAATACCAATTTTGCAACTTAATCGGAAAGATAATTTCCAAATTTCAGTTTAGGGCTCGCTCATGGAAATAGTAGCCGAAAACTCTGGGAATTGGTTAAATTATAGAACAATTATTGTCTTTATAGACATCATGTGTATATTCAAGTACCCTCATCAATATCAATAATCGAAAATATCAACTTGAATTCACGAACTATAATATGGTAATCCTCCCGAACTTTGATAAGTTCAAAACTTCTTATACAGTTAGTCTTGAATCCATGTGAAGAACTAACATCTGAAAGAAACTGCTGATTTTAATATCTCTAGTGCTCTCTATCAATCCACTTCAGATAATCCTGTTGACCACTTGATGTCACAAAAGAATTGTGCCTGAAAGATCATAACTCGACTCCCAACTACGATCTTGCTTCAACCTAAAAGAATTCTAATTCGAACACGAGCCAGTACACTACTGGTACAAGAGAAGCTACATTGGCCACACGTCGACAGACACCGGCGCTAGTCTCAAAGAACACGACTTTCCAATTTCCATTCCACATTATCGATGACCCATCTAGCAAATGTCACGTTATGGAGTGGAAATATCATTTTGCTGAAATCCACACAATGCTCCGCAATTTTCAAATCAATAGCTCTGAAATAAATACTATTTAGCATACTCATAACATGGTGATGCTTGTCAAGGCCCTCTAGAGGTACTGAATTTGGGGGTGGATTTATGTCAGTCGGTTCGTGAAATATTGAGAGATGTTGATTTATCGTATAAGCGAGAGGGGAACAAGGATTTATGCGATTTACCTGCATAAATGGATGGAAATTAGTATCTTGATATCCCATTGTGTTTTGCGTTATTAAGGCTAATAGCAATTTTCTAGGAAAATCCTGTGAAGTTTTCCATTTATCGATATTTTTTCTCTATTTCTTCCTCCAACTCCATAACTCTACTTCAAACAAACAGGAACCTCTCCCAAAATTGATCAATTTCAATCACCATCATGTACTGTATTCATGATAGCAAAGCATGTTTGATTAAATCTTCAGTTACCTGCTAGTGACCCAAGTTCCCGTTGAGTTATGTTGGTTGGAGGATTATCCAATTAACAGACCAGTTTACCCTATCTGAACTTGTTGATCAGGAATATAGCTACGAGCCGTAATTATTATATACAACAATAGCGTGCGCATTATATCGATTAGGCCTTCTGATTGCAACCGGAGAGCCCTTGTTGAAGGGCTCACATAATTCATGTTGACAAAATAGCAAATCAGATAATCAGTTGTTTTTCGATTTATTAGACACTTCTGTGAACAGTTTTAGAAGCTTCTGTCCAATCGATAGTCATTTATCTGAACGAATAACCTGTTGAGCTTTGAGTGTTTCGATACTCAAAGGGCCATCTTGAGACTTCAAAGGAGTCTAAGGTGATCTGATGCTCTCGTGATACGCTGTTAATCTGAATGACTCTTTTGTTCAAAATGTATGGAATAAGACTTTGTTCAATTATTCACATTAGTGAATTCTGAACTCTCAGGTTTAACTATAAACCAGTATCTATCTTGATTATGGCATATTCAAATGCTTAGGGAAAAAATATCTCCCATTGCTGATATATTATGCAAATTGATGTCTTTTATACCACTTAGATACTAGAAATTGATTTATTTCTGGAATAAATATCTTGACTATACAAACCAAAGGAACTGATAGATATTGACTCTCTTCGAAATGAAAGTATCCATTTTTGCGGCTGTGATTGTATTACAAGTTCGGCTGTTATAAATTGCGATTTTAATTTAGTGAGTACTCAAAAATTCCGACATTTCAGCTGATTTTTATCAAATTCAAGCAGCGAAAACCGAACTATAAATATTACCATTATCTCATATAAGCTGTTTCCTGATTCTAGTATAAGTTTGACGATGAAAAAAAGGATATGAGAATAATTTTGTGTCGTATCACGTCTCTGGTGTCGCGTTTTTCTACTGTAATTTAGTGCTCACATGTTCTCGAGAGAAATAAATTACCCTTGACACCTAAAAAACCGACAAATTACCGTGGGAGGCGTTTTCTATCAGCAAACTACCCGCGAAGCGTACGTGTCCTGTAGTTTTTCCCCGACCGTAGCCGCTGTACAAAGCTGCAATTTGCCTGTACGATGCAAAACTTTCCTCGAAATAATGCATTCAACTTTGTTGGTGTGGAATGGGCTTGAATTATGGCGCCAACTTTCGGGATCTCTCAATACACCGGGCCACAACTAACTGTCTCGAGCAGATATTCATGAGAACGCCAGATAGACCAAAGTGGTTATTCGATAAGCCGCAGACGATTTGGCAACAAATGATAACTTTCAAGGTACGCGACGTTCTCATTCGAATGTTCTCTGGAGTTCGTCATTTTCCTGATGCTGCAGCACTTAAAAGTCGAATGGAAAGTTTCAGCTCCACAAGAACCATGAATAAATTTAGGGCCGCTTACTGAACGAATTCGCGTTAAACAAAGGATTTTATTCAAATTACACAATTCACATACATAGAGAACCTTTTAGTGATGAATGAAGTTGGACGAGGGCACTACTTTTGGCATGATAATATGGAAACCACTAGCCGTGAATAAGGGCCATAAGTCAAAGTGATGATTATTCAAATACCATTTGTTGCATCATATGGAAAATGATAATTGAGCTTCGAAATATTCACAAATATTGAAGAGAACGCATGTCATTCAGAAATTAATGTGGCTGCGTTATTGGAGTTATCAAAATGTGGAGACGGTGGAATATAAATATAACGAAGCGATCGGAAAATTCAATTGATTATGGATATTTTCTGCCAAATGCGAAATCATTAAAAGTTCGACGAGAGA